TTTCGCCCACCTCCAGCGGGCAGTGAACGGCGCGCGGTGGCAGCGGCAGCCCCGGCGGAGTCACGGCCTCCGGCTGACTGCCCTCTCCGCCCCGCCCGGGTCACCTGCTTCTAATGCCCGCCGTGAGGCCCCGCCCCGGCCCCGCCCCCTCAGGCCCGGGCTCGGTTGGTGGGCCGCGGGGCCAAGCTCTCCGCGAGTCCCCGCCCACTGCACCGCGGGCTCGGCCTCCCCAGAACCCTCGCGCCCTCCGGCCCAGCCTGCAGCGGGCAGCCGAGGAGCGCTGGCCAATCAGGAGCGGAGAGCGATGAGGGCGGGGCGAATGCTAATCACCCCGCCTTGAGAACCTGGGCGGGAAACCCTCGCCAGAAGTCCTTCTGGAGTTCTCTGCCCGCTCCCAGGGGTGCAGGGCGCACGTTCCCGTCAAGGCAAGCTGATGAACCTTGGCTTCCAGGGCCTCTGCCAGGTGTCCTTTCTGCAGCCAGGCATCCTTAGGGTCCGGCGCTTGTTTAAAGGAACTGCTCAATGAATCTTCCTTAGCTGGGGCACCTGTCTCCCTTTTGAGCTGTCTTGATACTGGGTGAGCTCTCGCTGAAAGAAGAGCGAATATTTATTCAGCCCCTTCTGTGTGCCCAACAGCGTGTTAGTCGTTTACGTCTTAATACTAGATCAGGATTAGGATTAATACTTAATCCTAACAACAACGAGGCAGGTACTCCTTACAGCTGAAGAAGCCGAGACTCAGAAACTTAACCAAAGCAACCGAGCTAACATTAGTTCCCCAAGAAAGCGGTGACCTCGATGATCTTGCTCACCGCCGGATTCCGAGCTCCTGGCACATATTGGGCGTTCAGATGGCAAACCTGGGATTCGAACCCGGGTAGTTGGGCAGCGGCATCCACAATGTTAACCACTCCCTCCTGCCCCCATATGCTATCGATATCTCCCAGGCTTCGACCTTTACGTTCGCATCTCGCAACAAAATCGTGTTGTTGTGACAAGAAAGTGAATGAATTTCTTTCTGCCTTTGATAGATTCCAGAGATGGTCCTTTCTCAGGCAGGGTTTATAAACCCAGGCAGTTCCTAAGTCGCCCGCAGGGAGAAGCAACAGCGGCTCAGGGCTCCGTATGCACAGGGCGTCCGGCCCCCCGGGCTGCCAGCTGCAAAGCCACGCACTCGCGGGAAGCCTGCCGGGCGCCCCGACCACGGGGACACGCAGTGGCGTTCTCCAGATGGGTTAATATGCTGCAAGTTTAAATGCCCTAAAAATAATGCCTCTTCTACGTGTTCTAATAAGTTGGAAGACTAAGGTGTTTAGCATACTTGAAATTCATTCACACGCTAAAGAAGAGGGTTTAAATTGTTTCCCGCTCACCCCCCGCCCCCCGCGAAAATAGGCAGGAGGGCCTGGGGACACTAGAAGGACTAAGGACTGGACTAAACGGCTGACATGGACGGCGGGTTATTGTCCATCGTCTGTCCCGGATCCCATTTGTACAGACTCGGAGGCTCAATTGCAGAAGGCCATCTCTCTCCTGCTTATCAAAAAGGTTTTGTGGGAAATAATGAAGAGTATGTGTATTAATCCCAGCTTCAAAGTTAAAAAGGATTAAATGCCAATCGCTTCACAGACATGAAAACTATTAATAAATGTTTAAAATGTACACTACGTCTTCCATTCCCTGGAATTCTACAGGTGTTCGTATTTTATCTCTTTTGTTTTTTGGAAATGCTTGGCATTCTGGATCAACAAACATGCCAGGGTTGAAAGTAGTGGGAGTTGAAAAGCTGCGGAATAGCAGTCAAAAAGAAAGGGGAACCCTCAGTGGAAAGTATGTACAGACTGTGAACACGCCAAGCGAGGCCTGTCTCTTCTGTGACCTTTATGCTACGTGTGTATTATTGGGGATGGACAAGTGTTGGCTAATAATAAAAATTATTTGAAGTTGGAGAATGTTAATCACTCACACTGGAATTTGGCCAGAATACTTGTGTTATTTCATTTGGTTCTGACTCAGACAATGTTATCTATTGGTCTATAAACTTTCTCTCTTCTTAAACAACAGCAAAATTTTATTTTTGGTTGGCAATCTCTAATAATAACAGTAGTAACAGCAGAAAACTTCGTCAAAGGAAACATTTTGTATTGGATAGCTTTTTAAAAAAATGTTTTGCCTTTTTTTTTCTATGAATTCAATTTAAAGGAAATTTAAAATATGCTGACTAACATGCATTAGGCAAGGTGCTAAAAAACTCATGTATGTTACCTCATTTAATTCTCACAACAGATCAAAAACTGGCAAAATAATGACTTTCTTGAAGTTATTTAGTCTGTGGAAAAGGCAGAAATCAAAATTTTCATACATCTTGGTAACTATAGTTAATAACAATAAATTGTGATTGAAAATTGCTGAGAGTAGATTTTAAGTGTTCTCATCATAAAAAAAATGATAAGTATGTGAGATAATGCATATGTTAAGTAGCTTCATGTAGCCATTCCAAAATGTAAACATGTCAGACATTATGTCATACATCATAGATATATACAGTTTTTACTTGATAAAAAGATATTTTAAAAACCTTTCTTTAAAAAGAAATTTAAAATTTTCTCCTGAGTCATAATTTATTATTCAACAAACTAGAAAACACTTAATTTTTTAAAGATGTAATTTTAAGGCACTTAGAACATTGCCAAACATCCTTGTCTATTAATTTATTCATCTATCCTGTCTATCCATCCATCCATCCACTGAACAAACATTTCTGAGCTGAAGGCACTACTGCTGTATTGAATATGTTTCTGCAAAGCCAAACTCATGAAATTCAAGTTAAATTATTGTCCAAGGTGTGTATATTAATTGATGAAAATATAGAGAATAATACTAAATATTCCATCTAAGAAGTATTCCATAAATTTTGAAGTATTGGTTTTGGATTTTGTCATTAGAGAATAGTCACATTTTTAATCTTACTAGATTTTCTGTCATTAATAACAGAATACTTGAAACTGGTTAATTTATAAAGGAATAGAATTTACTTTTTAGTTTTGGAGGCTGGGAAGTACAAGTTCCAAGGGACACATCTGTGAGGGCCTTCTTCTTGGTGGGGGGTCTCTACAGAGTCCCATGTCGATATACGGTGTCACATGGCAAGGAGGGAGAGGAGCACTTGTTAATGTGCTCACTTGCTCTCCTTATAAAGCCACCAGTCCACACCCATGATAAACCATTAAGCCCTTAACCCATTACTCCATAAATGGATTAATCCATTCGTGAGAGCATAGTCTTTATGACCCAATCACCTCTTAAAGGCCTCACATTTCAACACTGCCACACTGGGCATCAAGCTTCCAACATGAACTTCAGAGGAGATAAATATTCAACCCATAGCACACGGATTATTCTGTAGAGATTCTTGAGAGTTCAATGCTGTGGGAATGAATGAACAGGTAGTCTTTGTATACTCTTCAATATCTTGATAATTGAGGCTGGAATGGTATGGAACAGAATGTGTACATAGATACCTTCAATAAATATTTGTGAAATAAATGAGTGAATGACAACTGAGATTAAAATTTTCACCTTTAGCAACTTACATTGAATCCTTGAATGCAGTTTACCACATGAACTATCTCTCTGAGGTTGACCCTACCCTGTTAAATGCAGCATGAGTCCAAATTTTGGCTCTGTCCTTATTAGCTGTACAACCTCAGGCAAGTCACCTGACAGCTCCTCCTTCTCATCTGTAAAATGGAGTTACAAATAGTTATCTACCTCAGAGTTGTAGTGAGGAGTAAATGAATTATATGGTACAGGGCTTAGAGCCATGTCTAGCACCTGCTAAGTCTATACAGGTATTAGCTGTTGTTATTAGTTTCTTCTTGAGTTCACTCTATTTTTCTGTTTTCCCAATTTTCTACATATTCTTTTGTACATTAACAATGGAAAAAGTGAAGACATATTTTTCAGATGTACTTTATGTCTGAGCACACTCCCAGCTGTCACCAGCTGTCTCTGGCACTTAGATATTGGTAAACTTAACGCCAAATCAGGGATCATTTAACTTGCTCCGATCAAAGAACACACACCGGACATTAACAACCATGTGTGTGCACATGTGCTGGCATAGGATAGAGATCTATAAAGCCCACCTGACTCCTTCACAGGTATTTCCAGACTAGCTCCTTATGTGTCCAAGAGCATCTCTGATCTCTCTTGTTCCCATCATATCAGATACCGCAAGACACCAACCAAAAGATTAGCATGATGAGTTGTTCTTCCAGGTTCATAATGAGAATGTCTTTTTCACATTGTAACTGGAATAATTCAACTATAATCTTTAGAGCTCTCCTCTCCCACACTGTGGTGGAGATTACGGAAAAGTGAAAACAGCTTTCTTTTTCTCCCACAGGAAATGGAAGTACTAATCTTTTCCACATTGCTCAGTGACTCTCAGCTGCACATTACAATCACCTGGGGAGCTTTAAGAAACACTGAGGCTTGGGCCTTCTTGAATCAGAATCAACAGTTGAGGGACCCAGACATTGTTTTTTAGTTTGTTTGTTTTTGTTGTTGTTTTGTTTTTAATTCTTGAGCCCTCTTTTCAGTTAGGCATTTCCTCAGCACAGCCCTGAAATCAGTCCTCTCTGGGTCTTTTGCAAAAAGGATTAAT